CGGGGCGATGCAATTCTGGGCATTGGGAATACGCGATTGTTGGTAATGCACCTATGGAATTGTTGAAAACGGAGCGATGCGTTTTTCGATACTGAAGCGAAGTGATTGTTGGTACTGGGGCGTTGTGATTCAATTGTTTATAATGAGGCGATGTGATTATCAGTACTGGAACGATGTGAATGTTGGAAAAAAGGCGACGTAATTGGTTGGTGAGGAGTTGGCGATGGGGCAATGTGACTAAAAAAATATTCATCGTGTAATGTGTTCATGCCCACATTTCATTTTAGTACGAACTCTGTCTCTCGCGTATCTCTCAAACCAACTCCCACCCACCCAACATTTAAAGACACGGACCGACGAGCAAACCTCGTTTGACGAACGTAAATCTCCCATCGGTTGACAAATTGTCCCTGTAGCATTTTTGTGCAGACGCGAAACAATCGGGCGTTGTTAGTCGAATTCCTTAACTATGTTCCGTAGCCATGTTTACGGAGGTTACGCAATTCGAGACATCACGGGCTCGTGGTAATCGCTTAACCGTCTGCAAACCCCGGGATGTGACGTCGCCGAGCTCCTGGTCGAAGTGGGAAAAGGCAATGTCGAACTACGGCTGACACTAAATGACTGGATTAAAGGATTACTCGTATCGTTGTTACGAATTGTAACAGGATTTTTTGTTCTTCCGAAGGTTTTTTTTTCAGCTTAAGGGGATGCGGATTTTTGACTGTCCGCTCGGGTACTCACAGTGTTTCTCTTAGGGACACATATTAACGTTTATACTAAACACTGACGGGCTGTGATCAGCACACTCACAAGGCCTTCCGCAACAACACGTAAGGGACAAGCAATCATTCGCACGGCGGGACTCGAACTGCGTTTTATTGCTAGTGATTCCGGGCAAGTCAGCTACTGAGGTCATTAGTTTCGTAAGTATAGTGCATGTTTTTGTTCGGGAGGTGGCGGTGATCTTGCCCCCTCTGGATGATCCGAGATCCGGCGAAAACCTGCCGCCGGTTAGTGGGGTTTTACCGAGTAAGTATCTCCCACCAGCAGGGCATCGACCCAGTCGGGTGAAGCTTTAAGTTCCCGACTGGTCTCCCCGGTATGTGTGTTTTCGTAATGTGTGTAAGTGTAAATGTGTATAAGCACGAGCGAAGAAGGGATAAGAAATTGGACGGAAAGTTCTCGCGCCGTCCGTGGCCTGTTTGTTAGGGTATTGCTCCAGCTTTCGCCTGATAGGGATCGGAGAAACCACATCGACCTTCCTTGTGAGCATGAATTGTTACAGAACTTAAATGATTCGAATAACAATGAAGCCAGATTTACAACCAGCGCGAGGTAAAATCGTCAAGCGAGACTTGCACAGTTTAGCGTCAGCTGCCACGATGTTGATCCATGTGTGTGTGTGTGTATCGGCGTCCACTGGCGGGCGGTTAGCGTGCAATGGGCGGGCCAGCGGCGGCGCCGACGCCATCGACCGGCAAGGGAAGCGCCGCGACGCCGTGCCGGCGGGCGTCGGCCTCGGGCAGTCGTTGCTCCCGCTCACCCCACAAAGGGCAGGGCGGCAACGATT